GGAAGGTGAAGAGGAAGCGGTTCGCCGACGGGGAGATTTACTTCCAACTGGAGGAGAGCGTGAGGGGCTGTGACGTGTACCTGCTGCAGCCTACGTGTCCTCCGGTGAACGACAACCTCATGGAGCTCAAAATCATGATAGAGACCTGCTGGAGCTCATCGGCCAAGTCAATAACCGCCGTTATTCCCTACTTCGGTTACGCTAGGGCTGATAGACGGGCAAGACTATATTCATCTTCTCTTTTTTTATCATATGTATGTGTTTCTTTGCACTTATTAAAAAAAAAAAAAACAACCATAAATAAATTTGCAGGTTCAAAGTCGGGAACCGATTACAGCTAGAATCGCAGCAAGGGACATATCGCGTGCAAATCATGTTCTAGTTTGCGATATTCATTCTTTGCAGTCCATAGGTTATTTTGATATACCTGTAGACCATGTACAATGTGAGGTAATTCCTAGCTTACATTATAAATTTATCTGAATATATATATATGCATTATGTTATTCACATTTATTGTTTGCATTGTTGGTCAAAAGTATGAATTTTGGTCACCGGGGACCGACTCACAGTAACTTTTTGCAGTAACTATACTTGCTCATTTTTTTTTTATTTTTTCTTTTGTGTGGTGCATATAGCCTGTAATACTTGATTATCTAGCTAGCAAAGGGCTTCATTCGAGTAATATGGTAGTGGTTTCGCCTGATGTTGGTGGGGTTGCAAGGGCACGCGCATTTGCCAAGAAGTTAGGTGATGCCCCTCTAGCTATTGTGGATAAAAGGCGCCATGGACATAACATTGCTGAGGTATATATATAAAATAATAATATTCGACAAAACTAAGTAGTAGCTCGATTGTGGGTGTCTATTTATCTACTTCACGATGAATAAGAAAAAGTACGAATGTATATTGTGTTTATAATTAACTTATAATTACTCTCAGGTGATGAACCTGATTGGTGATGTTAGAGGAAAAGTAGCAATTTTGGTGGATGACATGATTGACACTGCTGGTAATGCATGCATGCTTTTTATTTAACCTTAATTCGATGATGATCAAGAAACGAATTTATTCATGTGGTTTGTGTACATGAAATCTGAGTGTAGGAACAATCACAAAAGGAGCAGAACTTTTGCATAAAGAAGGGGCCAAGGAAGTGTATGCATGCTGCACGCACGCAGTTTTCAGGTATAAATAATTTCAGTGTAACAACATTTTTTATTTTATTTTTTTTTTCTCTTTACTTTTGGTTTTGTAATAACATATAATTATTGACTATGGAATGGCAATCCGCAAATATTCACAATTATATATTAACACTGTGTTATAAAAATATTATAAATATATAAAAAATGCTCAATATAAATATCTAACAAATTCAATTTGTTTGTTTTTTTTTTAATTATTATAAATTTGTTGTAAATAATTGGGCAGCCCGCCTGCGATTGAGAGATTGTCGAGTGGTCTGTTTCAAGAAGTAATAGTGACCAACACAATTCCTGTGGCGGACGAGAATTATTTCCCGCAGTTGACTGTTCTTTCCACAGCAACGCTATTGGCCGAGACCATTTGGCGTCTTCACAATGAGTACTCCGTTAGTAGCATCTTCCGATGAAATTAATTCATTATCCCTAATAATTAGTTAT